AGGGTCCTAAAGATGTATTTGCCCTTCAATTTCTGCTATGCTCCATTTGAAATGATGTAGTTGTGTCACACCTTACCTAAAAAGTACAGACCTAGTTGATACAGTCTGAGTGTGCTTCCCTAGGAGTGAGAGGTAGGATAAGAGTAGACAGCTTAAATTTCTTTCCAAATCCAGCTGCTTGTCATCTAATTCCGTGGCACACAATAAATTGTTGTTATGCATTTTGGGGAAGAAAAAAAAAACCAGAAAAACAAACAAAGAGAAAACAAACAAACATTATGGGTAATTGAGAAAAAAATACCTTCTTAAGGATTTGTTCCCTTCACATCTTTCAGGAGACAGTAGATAAACTGAGCAGGAAAGTGGAAAAGATCAAATCAACATTAGAGATTAGAGGAGGGATGAGGCAGCACTGGGATTTGTTACCTTAAACAATGTAGAAAAAGGAAGCACCCCCCTGATACACATAGCAAGTGAGATAAGGGAAAGAGAGAGCATGGATTTTAGTAATTGCCACAGAAATAAAGCCAGTCAGGGAAACTGCTTAATGGAAAAGAAAGAAAAAAACTGAGACAATGTTCAAAATGCCCCTCCTACTACAGTCACTGTTCTGCTCTGCTCTGCTCAAAAAAAAAAAAAAAAAAAAAAAAAAAAAAAAAAAAAAAAAAAAAAAAAAAAAAAAAAAAAAAAAAAGCACAAGATCAAATGAGTGGCTGGCTGTAAAAATGAACTAGAAAAATTTACACATCTAAGTCATCTGATCTGAAGTAGCAATTCAAAACTAACCTTTTTAGAACAGAAAATTCACTTTAATGACTTGGGGAGCTTTCTACCTTTCTTCACGGTGAAATAGCAACTCCTGATAAACATTGTCATGTTCAAGCAGAGTTCTAACTCCATCTGTAATGCCATAGTGACCTAGGTGACTCTCAGAGGAAGTCACACAGGCTGTACTTTTTAACTCTGCGCTCTGATGCCCAGCAGACATCAGATTCCTTTTTTTCAATCCATTTCAGCATGAGAAGCAATCTTAGAGTGGATTGAGGAAAAAAATGGTTTGCACTACTTCCTAGCTCACTTTTAGTGACTATAGTTCAGTTTGACTCAACAAATGTATCACATACCAGTTAATATTATCCTAACTTAAAAGAGAATATGCATACATATCAAGTGGTGTGCTTTACCTTTACTCTTGAAAATAATGAGTGTAGGGATGAGAGGAGGAAATCCTGTTGCTCCTATGTTCATGTGTTGTAGCATCTCTGAATAAACCAGAGACTTGGAAGTACCCCAGAGTAAAGCTGCTAGCCACTGATTTTCCTTACATGTATTCCTAAGCTCTGCAATATAATACTTCCTTCATACTTCTAGGAAAAAAGTCTCTCCTCAGCACAGATTTATTAAATATTAACTATATTCTGCCTGCTTCATCTTAAAGTTGACTGCAGCTATGAAAGGAGGTATATTAGCTGAGCTACCATAGCCTCTGAACAAAAGGCAGAAGGGGCTTCCCCCTTGAGCAGAAGTTCAAGGCACCAAGATAAAGGGGAAAATGTGAAATTGCCTTTGTACTGTTCTTACTTCTAGGATGCAATACAGAGATAAATTAAAAGAGAAAAAAAAAACAAAGTCAGGCAGGGCTGTCCTATCTGGGGCTATTGCATTGACTCTACCAGGTCCTAAGAGCTCATTCTGGGTTTGGGCTCAGAGCACGCTTCTCCCAATCCCATAAGCCTCTATGTATGAGCTAATACAGTCATAGATGTTGTGCTGGTTTGGGCTGGATTGTTTTTTCTTCACAGTGGCTAGTGTGGGGCTGTGTTTTGGATTTCACATGAATACAGGATTGAAAATACAGAGATGTTTTTGGTAATGCTGAGCAGTGTTTACACAGAGCCAAGGGTCATTCTGCTTTTCAGTGAGGAGACAGGGTTTGCATGAGAAACTGGGAGGAGGCACAGCCAGGACAGGTGACCCAAAGTCACAAAAGGGTATTCCATACCATATGACATCATGCTCAGTATATAAAGTGGGGGGAAGAAAGAGGAAGGAGGGGACATGTGGAGTGATGGTGTTTGTCCTCCCAAGCAACCATTATGCATGGTACAGTCCTGCTTTCCTGAAGATGGCTGAATACCTGCCTGCCCATGGGAATTAATTCCTTGTTTTCCTTTGATTGCCAGGGGGGTGGGAGGCTTTTGCTTTCCCTATTAAACTGTCTTTATCTTAACCCACAAGTTTTCCAGCTTTTACCTTTCCAATCCAACTGGGGGGAAGTGAGCAAGCGGCTGTGTGGTGCTTGGTTGCTGGCTGGGGTTAAACCACGACAGATGTGTTCATTAGAACATGAAACAGGCATATCTTGGCACTAGTCACCATAGAGATAAGAATGTGGGATATAGGAGGAAAATCATGAAAGGAGGGAAAGTCTCCCAGAAAACACTACTCTCACAGTATGGATGGAAAGATACAGTGGAATTAGAAAATTTGAGACAAGTTAATCACAAGGGGAGGAAGGGATGGGGCAGTCTGGAGCACCAAATAAATTTGGACAGGAGAAAATGTGTGGTTAAGGTTGAAAAGTAAAAATTGTGCAGAGAATGCTTTCAATGCATCTTACACCACATACCATTCAGAATGTGTTTGCTGTCAGTATAAGCAACGGTCCTGATTTCGGACAGGGTTAATTTTTTGCAATAGCTGGGAGGGGGCGTGGCTGAGGGGAAGTGGCCAGGACCTTAATGTTATTGGATACCACCTCACATCACTGCCAGAGCACAGGAAACGGACTCTCTCTGGTTTCAGAGGAGAAGGAAGTTTCTTCTGGTGGGGAGAAAAAAACGGTGGGGGAGAGCCGATCAGTATTGTCTTGGGCTTTATATGTAAATCATTTCTTAATCGTATACCTTTTGTTATTAATCTTGTTGCTGTCACTGTTTGTTTTCTTATCTCGTTGTGTCCAGTAAATTGTTCTTAATTCATGAGTTTTGCTTTTTGTGCTTCCAGTTGGAGAGGGAGGGGAAGCAAGCAGTGGTGTGGTTTTAGCAGGACTACTAAATATATATTTATATTTAGGAATACCATTCCTAAACCATGACAACAACAAACTGAAATATACCTACTACACTGTGGTAAACAAATACTCTTTCACAGACTACTCTGCATTTGCCTTTTCCTTCCGATGCTACAAGTTTTCAGAAGCAAACCTCTTGCCAACTAATCATTTTTGGACTTGTTGAGATCTGGGGTTTTTTTAATAAAGAGCAATCAGTACATATGTCTCTATGGGACTTCTTTTATTGGACCACAAAAAATTAGTGTGTTTTCCTCTGTGACTTGCAAAAAACAGTTTCCAAGGAGAGAAAACAGAGACAAAATTCAGCTTTAAAATTAAGTCCCATGATAAACGGATAAGTCATTTCATGTCATGTTGCATTCAAGTAGTTAGCTAACAATTAACCGTGATGACCAAAACCTTTATCCCACACTCACTTTCACATAAGAACACTAACATATCTACATAATTATACTAAATGTGGTTGTTTGAAAGTATCAGGTAAATAAATTCTCTTATCTGTCTTCAATTAAGAGTCTTTAGGAGTCTCGTTTAGTGGGAAAATGGGAAAAGGCTTATCTTGAATATTGTACCAAACCTCCAAAAAGATCTATGAAAAAAGTGGGCAGAAATCATAACAGCACATTCACAGAAGAAATAAAAAATACCAGCACAACTCCATTCAAATCAGTGTACTTTTCTGTAGTACTGCAAATCTTATTTCAAAGTCTATGGAATTAGAAGGTTGAAAATATCCAGCATAGTTTCAATATCTTTTCTTTATTACTTTTCCCCGTCTACATGCAAAATAAGAGGGTTCTGGTTTTAAACATAAATGAAAAAAAATCTTTGAAGGAAAATGAAATTTTCAAAACTTTCCTGAGCAAGTCTAGGTCTAAACACAATGTAAAAATTTGACAATAATGATTATCTAAACTACCCAAGTTCCTAAATTTATTTTTTAAATTGAAAAATGATTCAACATCTATAACAATAGTACCTCATCTTATGAATCTATCCTGTTCTCAGTTCTCATGGTGACAACTCAGAACAAGTCTCAAGTCAGTCAAGGCTGTGGAAAATTATGCAGTTGTAAACCCCATATCAAGAGAATGAGAAACTGCTCCTAAGTAGCATTTGCTAGACATTCTCAAAGGAAAAGGTACCACGAAATGCTATTGCAAATCTTTCACTCTGAATATCTATTTTTACTCCCTGATCTTGATTTCTCTCTCCCATGAATACAGCCCAATGAAGAATATATTCTATAGTATGCATACTTCTGAGAACCAAGTGACAGATGCTATCCTAGCAATAAACATGATGTAAGAACCTACTTAACCTCAGAAAAGAACAACAAACAAAACAAAATAAAAACCAAGCAGAATTTGTCTTTGCATTCAGATGCTGCTCTTCAAGGCTGGACCGTGAAAACTTCTGCTGCTTCAGACAACCTTGAAAAGGAAGCAGAGTGCCATTTTCTCATGGTGATGCACACAGAACAATGGATTGGGGTCCAGAAATACCAATCTACTTCCAAGCAGTTTGATATAGGCACATACCTCTAACTTTTTCTTTCGCAAGTAGACAAGATACCATTTCTGGCCGTTACGATCTGGTCATGTTTCAGAACCGGCCATTTTCCACTCCCCCCAGGAAACCCAGCCCAAGCACAGTCCTTTGATAGATTCTCAGTGAATTTCTGTGTATGCAGTTAGAGACACAGAATGAGAAGTGGTTTTCAGAGTAGCAGCACATTCTAGAACTTCCAGTTCTCAGAAAAGCTGAAATATTTTCAGTTTCCTGATATCACAGAATTATTCAACAAATGTTTAAAAAGCCATTTGTTGAACACACGTGGTACCAACTGTTCAGCTGAAACACATTAAGTGTTGTGAGTTTTAAATATACCTGCTATGTCATGTATTTCCTCAACTCTTTAAAGAAACAAGAACAAGGCCTTTTGCTCAGAAGGAGAGCTCAAGGCTTGCACAGCGCAGGCTTTCCTGCAGCAATGAGGAAGTCAGACAGTCATGGAGAAGTAACAAGAAGTGGAACAGAAAGACTAGGAAAATTCTGGTGATAGAAACAGATTTTTAATTTATCAACTGCAGTTTCAATTTTTAAAAATGGACCTCACAGCTGCTTCTTCACAAGACATTCATGTGGACCGTGACTATTTAATTGTGTACCACCATCACCGTAACCTTTACTCCTCATATCTAATGAAGGCTATCACAACAAATTATGTCACTGTCAAAAAAACAGAACAGAAATAAAGTTGCGCAAAGTTTTTCTTTTAAGGTGTAATTTAAGGAAGGGATGAGTAGTTTTTACATCTCAAAGAAAACATTTGGTTTGTAATAAGAAGACTTTGTGCAAGAAACATCACAATTCAGAATTACCTTCAGTGTTATTTTAACAGGTGCTTCTTAACTTCCCTTTGCTGCAGAATTGTTCGAAGTTAAGGGCAATACATACACTTCAGAATAAGATACTTTTTTCCTGAATGGCATTTGATAGCGCACTTTTTTCCAGAATCTTGTATTTGCTGAACATGATTTTTCTGAGAAGTCACCTTTCCATTTGATAGCTCCATGTTTTTGCTTAATGTATCTGATTGATTCTGGCATGCTTGTGTAGTCCTGTATTTCATCCATTTCTATAAGAATCACTTGAATCCCGTCGCGGATGAGAGCATTATACATAGCTAGTTGTTGTTCAGAGGTGTCTTCTAGTAGGCAGCAACTAGATGTTTCTGATCCCAAAATAATCATCAGTCTTCTGCTTTGCTTAAGAGTTTCATCAGCAACACTGACTACAGCTGTAAGTAATAAAGGAATGATCAGAGTTTCCATAGAAACTTTACAACTGATGTAAAATACTTCTTAGTTTTAAAATTGCACATAGGTGAAGCTCAGAGGACTGGTAGGTTTAAGATCTTCACGCTGTCATTCATGATTCATGATCCACTGCGTGACATAACTGACAAAAAATTAGTTTTCTTCAGTCCCTAGGAGGAGATATCATTCAAAAAACTTCAACAATATTATTAATGCTGTTGAATCCTCATTTGTTCATCAATAAAAAGAAAGTGCAGACCCTCATAACATTGGAACAAACTTTTCAGTAAGGAAATAAAAGAAAAAGAAATAAATTGTCTATTGGACAAATTATCCATTAAAAAATAAACAAATACCGCTTCCTTTTCAAAATATGTAGATTTTAATTGTATAGATAAACTTCAAGCTGAGAACAATGTCCCAAAAGACAATTTAATAACTCTACTAATTAAAGCATACCTTCTCCAGGTAAATCATCCCTTCCAAATATGAAGAGATTATATCCACATTGTTTTTCTAAAACATCTGGGAGTATTCTACGAACAAAGGTTTCCAGACAATAGAAACTTCTGCCTTCACTGCTTTTTGCATACAGGACATATGCATCATAGATTTTCCCATCTAAAACAAACACAAACATTTCTATTAAAAAACTAAAACTGAAATGCCTTTATTGCAAAGTTCCATTTTGGTGTGTTTAAAAACAATAATGGGGGCCTGATTTCACCTATCTGACAGAATAACTTCAAACAACTAAAATGCTCTGCAATTCAAAAGAAAGATGATCAGCTACTGAATCTAAATTCCTTTCCCATCATGGAAAGGGAGGAGGCAGAAAGTGAGCTGGATGCCAGTCCTAAGGCCTGCAGGAAGGAGCTCCCAACCCCAGAAGTTGAAATTACTTTTCTGTGAAAACATTTTGGACAGCCATGAGTAAACATTAACTACATCAATATATGTAATTCATTCACTTTCAAGCTATGGGGAACTCCAGACAGTCTAATTCTGAGCACTGATACAGAAAATACCTATGATGTTGTTCTTATTTCAGATTTTTCATACCTGTCTTTGTGTATTTGTCTACAGTACAGCAAATAAAAACACACAAGAAGAATCACAGAACTAGAACACAGAACTAGTAGCAAATTTTCTCTTCAGCATGTAAATATCATAACTTACAGGATTTAGAAGGAAAGTGGGGGTAAAAGGGAGAAATTGCAAAACAAAACAAAAAAAAACCCCAACAAATTAATCTCTGAGAAATTAGTCTGATTCTCAAAGTAAATATTTAATGCACGTCTTTAAGCAGCTAGTTTACAGGATGTAGCTCTGCTGACACCTATTGTTCATCATCAGAGTGACCATATCACTACATGTAAAGAAACTACAGAGAAGCAAAAAACAACATGCTAATTTGGGAATAGCCAATAATTCTTTTTGGCCTATCTCACCATGACTGTCTTCAATATTACAGATTTTATTACCTCAATCATTACATATTTTACCCATATGTCTTAAAAAATGCCCCTCAAAAATGTCTTTGTGTGTATCTGAAAATTCCTGACGAAAGTTCCACATACATTCTACTAAATAATCCCATTTTTGCTCAGAAGCAATGGCAAGTGAAAAAATTCAATAGGATAATTACACTTATATACCTGGTCACATTCACATACCTTCCTTACTTGTAAGGGCACAGGCAGAATTACGGTACCAAAGCACCAAATCAATCTTGAAAGTCTTGTAGATTATTAAAATAATAAATGTTAAAATTAACAAAGAGACAAGTGATCCAGTCAGCCATCTTCGTATATCAGGAACTGCACAAAAATATAAGAAGATTGCTTTTTAAATGTTGAATTTGTCCAAATCTGATCTTTCACACAAATGCAATACAAATTCGAATATTATTCATTTTTTATTCATATTCATTATTTATATTATGACATTAATATTATTCATGTTGTTTTTCATTTCTATTTACCTGGGTTTTAAAATAATGTTAAATACACTACTACAGTGACTTTCCCTGTGCACATGCATGTGTACTGCAAACTGTAATGAACCTGTCTTCTATTGAAACAATACAAAGAATTTGGTATCAAAACACCTTCTGGGGAAGTAAAGACAATCACAGGCTTCAAAGATAACCAGTATTTCTTACCTCTGTGCTTTAATATAATATAAGATGCAACCTCCCCAAAGGCATTTGAAGCTTGACAGACAAATGGTTGTTCATAATCTTCACTATTCACTTCTGAAATTATTAGCTTCACAGAATGCATAGGGCGTCCATCGTCAGAAGTTTCTTCCCTGTCAAAAAGGTGACAAATAGAACCATAAGCCACAGCCCTTTCTGGAATGGCTTCATCTCTAACATCCGCAGCACAACAATGGCTATTTCCCTCTGAAACTTCAACCACACTTCACAACAGATGAGCAATTACATTGCATGAAAGAAACCTGGTCAGACATTCATACTGACATTTAGCATATGTATTAGAAAACATCAAGACACTAAGACATTACCTTATCTGGAGCTGTGTTTCCCCAAAGGAATATAAGCTTTCTGTAGTTTGAAGGACAAAAATATACCTTACAAACCTAAGCAAACCATTGTTATAGACTTCCCAATCCCTGTAAGAATAGATGGACAGAGAGATTCCACAATGGGACATGACACAGAAAGAGGCCCTGGAACAAGGCGTCACCTTGTGGTCAGCAGCTCTGGGACAAGGAGGACATCAAAGGTGGTGACATGCAGCAGACACCACCAATTCACAGTGTGATTCCAGCTACAGGGACTGGAGTCTAAATGGTGCTTCACCCCATGGATCAGAACAGACTTGTAACAGCTGATTGTGTCAGGTCACACCATTAAGAGACCCAGATTATCCCCCATACATTGTACAAGGGCATAAAAGCACTCATACTAACTAGTTGAGTACTGTGACGTGTGGCTGATGAGTGAACTAAACAAGCTTTTAACCACCAGCAAACTGTGGGATACCACTACCTTAGTTAATCGTAGACCTCAAATGCAAAATTGACTAACTAGTCTGCTTTCTTTCCTGAAAACATAGTGTAGTTATCATTTAAAATGCAAAATAAAACATAACATAAAGGGCATATAAAGGACCACATGAATCATTTTCTAAGCAAAAAGTTACAGTAATTTGAGCACTGTAACAGGGAATGAATAAATCAACATCACTAATGCAAATGACTAATAGTTGCAAAGATGACCATTTAAGCTCTAGGAAGTAAAAAAGATAACATTGCTTTTACAATATCAACTCAGTGACCATGTGCCTCTGCATTATGACCCAATTTTTTATGGCATTACAATTCTTTATGACAGTATAATATATTACCTTTATGCGAGTGTTTTCTCTTTGTGAGTACCCAAATAATTCAGATCTTTATTTCTCCCTTTGTTTTATAATGAATACTTATTNTTTTTATACACAGAACCACCATGAGATAAGGGCTGATTAAAAACCCTGCAATTTTTATTTCCCAATCTCTAATATATAAGAAAATTTAAGTTTCCCTCTTGCTCCAATTTAAGTTGTTTTTCCAATCAGGTATAATTTCTTCTCTCCTAACTAACTCCATTTAACCTGCTTTTCACCATCACCTTGTCTCCCTCTTGCCCTTTTCACGCTTTCCTCAGTCCAAGTCTTCCCGAAACTCAACTCATCACTGGAAATTTGTCTCGCTTTTCTCAGCCCTCTAAGCTTCAGTACAAATGCCCCCAGTGAAGTCTTCCATTAGGTTTTCAGCTGATCTCTGTTATCTTTCTCTAACTCAAGGCTCTTAAACTTGGAAATCTCAGTTTCTCCTGTAAAGCACAGGTTTGTCCTCTTGTGACTTTTCACAGAGGCAGATAGGAAGGGAATGGAGAATGCATCAAAAAGAGACAGTCTGGAGATAATGCACCTGGACATGACTGATGCAACCAAAAGAGGTTTACATTACAAGTATGAGACTGTAACAAAACAGCTTTCCAAGTTTGGAAATTAAGACAGATTTTTTACAATGACCAAGAAAAGCACAATCTCATGTGAAGTCCATGTGCCTCCTAGGTTTCAAGTTTTTATTTCAAAGCAGGAAGTGAATTGGGGAAGGAAAGCGTTAGAGTTTTTTAAAAGAATGCTATTTAAAGTCAGGGAAAAAATGTTGCTTAATATTTTAATGCCAAAGGGAGAAAGTTCCACTTTGGTTGTCAATACAGTATATTCTAGTCTGAAAATATACTTACTCATAGGGACTTGCAAAAATTCTGCTCATATAAAATACATCAATATACACACCGTTGCCTGTCCAAAACACTTCATACCCATCAGCACCTGTCGTATTGCAATCCACTGTAACCTGCGAGCCTATAAAATTGTGTTACAAAATAAAGAGTTAATTTCCATAACCTAATGAAAGTCTGTACAGTTCTGTTCGCTGATTCCCACACAGACCAGCTAACGATGGTACCAAACCCTTTCAGAAAAGGTGCTCTGACAGAGGGTGTATATACTCAGTGATCTGCAGATCCAGGAAGAGAAGGGTAGGATGGAAAAGGCTGAATCCAGGAAGATGTCTCCCCCTGGGGTATCACTTTGCCTGCAGTTTTGAGATGGATCTGTTCTTAGAATCTTAGAAAGCAACAGATGTGACAGATAATCAGTTGGGTTCCCTATAATTTTCTTTGCATCTGAGAAATTTCCCTAGGATTTTGGAAACAACACACCTCATTTCTTTCTCTCTCACCCCTCAATATTCCTCCTTTGGGTGATGAACAAAGAGAAATCAAGCTGGTTACTGAATTAGTTGAGTTTTTTTTCAAAGAGACAAAACAAGAAAATACATAAAAGGGCACTCCTTGAGTATAAATTTTCACTAGGATACAAATTCATATTTTCTCATAGAGAAAACTACTTACCAAGTTCCACTTCAATCGAGTTGTTTCTTGGGTAAGATATTTCTGGAGGCTTTTTTGGTTGGCTCACTAACCAAAAGAAAGGAAGGGCTTTTCAGAAAACCTTTAGGGCAGTTGCAGTCTGTTCTACAGACAAGGCTGTCAGCAATTTTATAACAAACATCACTCAATACTGAAAGTATCATATCTCAGTAGTCATTACTTCTGACTTGAAGCCAAGCTGCTCTTCACTCTCTCTCTTCCAAACGTAATGCCTCAAATCTCCACACACTCATGATGGACTGGCTATTCCATGGCACAGAAATTCTGTAGTATTGCATGCACAGGTGCTGAGAAGGGTATGGGCAAATATCTGCTGCTCTAAGGTCTTGATAGCCTGTCACCCAGCATCCCACAGATACAAAACAGAGCCAAGTACACTTAGAGTGCGGTTCATCTATTTTAGACTTCTATTATTCTAAAGGGGAAATTTAATTTTTATACTCCAGTTAAAGGCCTTAAGATTTTTCCCACAGCCTTATCTATAAGTAAGTACAATGCCAGTGATGCATTTTAGATGTTTACAACTAAGACTACATATATGACACTCTCCAAGTGTACAAATTAACAAACATAAATCATAAAGCATCTCTAGCAAAGTACACAGGATTGTCCCAAATATATCCTTCCCTTCCCATTCTGAAAACTGGGTCTGCATTATTGTTTGGACCCCAAACCACTATTTTAGTGTAAACTTGCTCAGCTGGAGTCTTTAAAAACTACCAAGGTACCTTCAGTCATTTATGGCAGTGAAATGATTTTGTGTCTACTCAGTCCTAGAAGCCAAAATTCCACCAAGAGCGAAGTTCTATGGACAGCTTTTAAGACCAGAATGATCATTTCATTTGATCCACCCTTACGTCCCTTAGATTTTATTTATTCATACAATATAGATGTATAAACATGACACATACTCCCATCATATGTTTACACACACACTTCTGCACATACGTATGTATACATATATATGCACACAGACAAAACAGGCAAACACAAAAAGAGATCATTAAATAGTAATACAATATATTAGTAAACCTTAAAATGTCTTTCATTGCTGGAATGCAAAAAGCAGTATTTGCATTGCTTACCTTGGAGTAGCACAGTCTTTTCAGTGATCCATTATCAATCTCATGATGCTGTGCTAGCAAAGGATTTCATATTTTACACCTACACCATCTTTTATAATTTTTTGTTGTGCTATTGGCTCCCAAGATAAATCAGGGTTTACTGAGCTACACACACAGCATCAGAGATTAGAAGCTCTTGTGCGGAGCAGCTTAAAACCAAAAGCAAAAGAGACAAAGGTTTGAAGGAAACAGATGGTACACACAGAATGAAGACACTGGCATTACTTGGGCTGGTTTAGTTCATTGCTCTTGCATTAAGAGAATAATGTAAAAGAAAAAGAAGGAAGATGGGCAGGATAGAGAGTACAATAGAAAGTATTGTACCACCAAGCCTTACAGGGCATCTGTTTAGAGACTTTGCCAGCTGGTCTGGGCAGCAGAGCTTTGTTATACTGCAACTTTGAACAGGAGAGTGAATCTTCAACATGGTGGCAACAACAGACAAAGTATAAATACCCACAGTCAGTATTTATTTCCCTCACATTTAGGTGAAAACCAGTAGCCCTAAGCATGACTATCCACTGATTAGGTCTTTCTGCTTTGGTCTATGAACACAAAGGCAATGAAATTATTTACTTACCTTCTACAATCAGACTGACATCCCGTGAAATGTTATATTGTTTTCCATTGTAGTTACGTGTTGTTTCACATGTATAGTTTCCTTGATCATGTACAGTCACATTGAAAATTATAAGATTACTGTTTGAGAAGGCAAACCTTTTCCCTTCCAGCAGCTGGCAGTCCTAAAAATGTGTAGAGAACTCTGTTAATTCATATCACTGTACATTTCCATGGTTTGTCTCTCTTTAACACAATCTGAAGTTTCAGTGGACCACAGCACTGAGATGGATGCCTTGCAGAGGCTGAGGGAAGGCAAAGGCAGTGGAATAAAAAGCACTGCCTGCTTCATTTCAGCTGCGTTTTGAATTCAAAGATACCCCACTTCATCTCCTTTGGAAAACAACTTTCGATATTAGAGAAATAAGAAAGTAAAATGCGAGTGTCAGGATTTTTAGAAGTGTTCATCCATTAAGAACTACTTAATTATAACATTTCATTTTTTAAGGAACCTAAATACTACCGGCACCATTTGGACCACGTGGGCCTGAGGCAGGAGTTCTGCAGAAGGCACTACATTCTTGTAACAGAAAGAGCCTTTAAATGAGTGTGAACCACGTGAAACGGAACAATTTAATAGAACAATACTGAGCACGTGATGGATATCTCACACTAAATCTGTTTCCATGAAGCTCCGAGTGCGTTTTGCTGGCAGGTAAACAGATGCCCCCTGGTGGATTCGTGGGTCAACGGCGCTCCTTCACCTAAACTACCCTGAATTTCTACCCTGTTAATCAAAAAAAAAACCCGATACACCTTTAAAAGATAAAAAGTCTTAATGCTCTTCCAGTGGTTTTTTTTATTATTTATATATATATAATTTTATCTCCCTTTTACAATAAATCTTTAGTTTTTCTGCTCCAATTTTCGAAGATCAGTGTTTTTTATTTTAAATAGTGGACAGCTATAAGGCAGTAAAAATCACCACATTCTCACCTTATACCAACGAACAGGCTGAATATCCTTCTCATTCCTGAAATAATCCAAGTGTGGACACACAACCTTTGCAGATGATGATGTGAATACCACCTCCTCTACAGCAAATTTTTCATTTAAGCATAAACCATCAACCTTCTCAAAAATTGTTACTTTTGTACACATTTTCTTGAAGCTTGTCAAGTTTCTGCAATTTATAGAACATAATTAAATTAACCTATTTGGCATATTTTGCAACTCAAAAATATATGGCATTCTTTTTGGAGAAGAAAGAGAAGACAAGAAGTTTATGGTTCCTTAATAGATTTACTTTTGCCTACAAGGAAAAATAACCCAAAACTAGATTTAATTTCCCCAGTCTAAGTTAGTTTTTATGAATGCACTCTCTATTCTTCATTAGCATTTCTCTTTCCCTCAAAATTTTGCTTGCTTTCTAAAAGTTACTTATTTTGAAACTAATTTCTATAATTTTTTTTTTTTTTTAATTTTCACCTTATGACACATTCATAATCTCCAGAATCTTCTACCACTGCAGGAAGAAACCAAATTAAATTCTTCTGCTGATGCACTCTAGACAGTTTGTCTCTAGGCACAGCTGTCTGGTTACCAACTTTATACCATGTTAAGTTGTAGTTTCCACTTTTCAGGTTCTTTTCCGGTGAACAGTTAATAGCAAGAGGCTGCCCATCAGGCACAAGAATTTGCCCCAACATCACATCATAGGCTTCACATTTCTCTAAAAGAAAGAGATAGATATTAAAGAAAAACTCAAACACCCTACAAGAATATACTGAACTTATTTCCTGATCACATTTATAAAGTTAATTGGAGTTTTCATCTCCACTCTCAAGTCAACCACTGAAATACAATTTTAATTCCTTTCTAGCTGAGAGTACTACCCAGTGGTATACTGATACAGCTGTATAGCCACTGAAATGAAATACCGTTATTTGAATGCAAAATTTACACTCCGTAGAATGTTTGCAGCAGACTTGCATGTTTAACTTCAGATGCAAACTACTACAGTACTTGTTTTTTCCCAGTCTGTTGCACGTGCGTGCAGACAAACACACACATGCACACCGATTTCACATTTAAGGTCTTTATTTTTACCTTCCCTTGAATGTAGTCAAAGTAATCTTTCAAAACAGACTATGCTTTTGATACTCAAATGTCCTAAGAGGACACTGAAGTTACAGATCGTGTTGCACAAATATTAAGTTTACAATGGACATTTCAACTCACCCTTCATTTTATGAATATTTAGAAAGGAATTATTGCAATCACCAATGAGCTCATTTTCTTTTCTTCTGACACAAACAGACTCGTACAGGAAAAGAGCAACACCATGAGTTTGGCTTGGGGTTTTTCGGAGTTTCTTTTTGCAATATGACAAAAAAGGCACCACCTCTGGATACCATGGTTCCATTCCTAAGTTAATATTATATCTACCTAAACTTCCTTGCTTTATTAGATGTAAGAACTGACACAGAGTCATGCAGGTATCTGTCTAGCCCAAAATTCTGGCACTGATAACAACCAATGCCAAATATGCAAAAGAGAGGAGAACACCACAAATATAGTAATACTTTGCTTTCTCTCCCCTTATATTCTGCATTAAAATCTATTCACTGGCTTTTGTAATTTCTCTGGGTATTATGCGTTTCTTGGTATGAGAAATGGTAAGTAATTTTTCTCTCTTCTGCCTAGTCTATGGTATTTTTATAGATCTTCATCCCATCTTGCCTCAGTTGTTTCTTTTCTTTATCTCCTTCACTTAGTGACTTCTCATATGGAAGCCATCCCATATCAGATGACACTGTCACTCATCTCCCTAACCTTTCTGAAACAGTCTTTCTGAGATGGAATGACCAGAACTGCCCAGTTCAACTGACACACATTTACCATGGGGTAACAGAGTTGCATAATGAAGCTTTCTGCTTTCTACTCTGCTGCTTTCCAAAAATTCTGCTTTTCTGCTCACTGCTGATGACAGAGTTAATGATTCCAAAGAGCATCCAGAGATATCCAACATCATTTTCCCAAGTGGTTATCAATTAACTTTATGCTCTCATCACACACATACAGTACACATGCTTCTGCTACAGGTGCATGACCCTTCCATGACCCTTCACATCTGTTTGATTTTACTTACTGACATTGTGTCACTAAAATATTTGATATGCAGACAACCTCTTCATAGCGAGCATCAGTTTCAACCATCAAAGGATAATTTTGTGTCATCCACAGTTCGCATCACCTCGCCATAAATCTTCTCCAAATTACTTATCCAAACATTGAATTACTCAGATATCTGTATTGAATGCCCCACAATAACTGTAATGGTTATGAAATGCTGTGGCCACAAGAACTGATAACACTTTTCTGCCACTAAATGCCACTTTTCTGCCACTAAATAATCTGAAATAGTGTAATAGGCCCCAGGACACTCTAGAGACCATTCAGCTGGAAAGTTGATCTTCAGAGAACATTTAGGTCTTGGTGGACCACAAACTGACCATGAGCCACCAATGCTCCTTCATGGCAAAAAAGGCTAAGAGTGACCTGGGCTGCATGAGGAACTGCTAGATTTGACTTACTGGAGAGAATCCAGCACATAGCCACAGAAGTGATTAAGGGAAAGGAGCATCTCTCACTTGAAGAGAAAATGAAAGTACAGGAACACTTCAGCCTAGAGAAGAAAAGGCTTGAAGAGCGTGTGAAGGGATCTTATCAATATGTGTAAATACCTGATGAAAGGGAACAAAAAACAAAGAGACAGATTTTGCCAGCATGGCTCACTGAGAGGACAAGAGGCAATGAGCACAGATTGAAACACAAAACATTCAATCTGAAAACAAGAAAATACTTTTTTATTGTAAGGATGATCAAACACTGGAACAAGTTGCCCAAAGAGGTCATGGAATCTCCATTTGCAGGAATATTCAAAGTCCAGCTGGACACAGTTTTGGGTAACCTGCTCTAGCTGACCTTGGGGTATGTCAGTAAGGTTGGACTGCATGACCTCAGGAGTTCCTTTCCAACCTAAATGATTCTGTGATAAGATACTACATGAAATAACACGTGTTTGAGAGGTCCCCGCTCTTAGGACTATTTAAAAGAACTCACTGGCATGCATGTAAATTAACTTTTACAGGCATTTTCACAGAAAGTTCGTATTACTTGAGTGGAAAAAAAAAAGTTTCAGAACAAAACCTTCCATAGCCAATAAACTTACTTGCAATAATTAAAGACAGAAATGCTGTTGCAATATTACATGAAAACACTGGTTTTGCCATCACATTTCCCTACAGAAATGGAAAGAAAACTTTCAATTAGTGGCTTCCAATATGAACTTCCACAATTTAACGTCAACATTTAATACAGTTAATACAGGAATTACACAGTTAATTCAGGACACACTAAACACAGGAATTGGCTTTGACTTGTTTTGAGCCTCTTACCCACTTGTTTTACTTAACATCTCCTAATTATTACACAAGAAGAAAAAAAGTAAGTAAATATTTCCCATTCAGCTTGGGAAGCACTCAGGTTTTTTTACATCTCTAGCACATTCCTTCCAACTTCTTGCTTTCCTAACTTACAGTGTTATATTCTCTAACTGCCCCTTAGATGGAATCTGATTTCATACTTCTGAATATTTTTGCCACGCGCTACCACCACTGCCTCCAGTTATGCTACAGCCTGTCTGAAATGGGGAGGACAGAATTTGCGTATAGTCTTCAAAACACAGGTGCACTGTGGATTTATAAGCTAAAACAATTATTGCTTTTTTCTGGATTTTTTCCCTAATAATTTCTAACCACCTCTTTGTTCTTTGAAGACTAGTGAATCTCGACATGATATTTCCATGGGCCTATGTAATGAAATTCCAAGATCTCATCACTAGGGCTAAGAATCAAATAAATCCAGTCAGCTGCTGAGCATGTGATGTTAGGATTTTGTCCATATGTTTTCATTTTAAATTTTCTTTATATTTATCCACAAAAAAATTTCAAATGCTATTATTACCTAGTCATTCACTATCATGACATCTTTCTGCCACTCTTTGCAATTTACATCTCCATATTCTATCCTGAATAGCTTTGTTTTGTTGGCAAATTCTGCCGCTGCAACAGGTTCCCTCTGCGTTTGGAACTCCAGTAGTGATCTTCCTTCACCTGAAAACTAAGCGTTTATGTTTTACCTGCTTATTTACACATCTGAGAATGATTATCAGGACTCTTTAGTAGTCTTCTGATCCATAGTGTGCTTGGAGAAGAATCTATTAGTTGCATGCCTCTGGCAAGCTGTTCCTTAACTTGACCTGCCTTACTGCTTTTTTTCTGCCACAGTCTTTTGCAGCACTATGAGAGGACAAATGTTCAAACTAAAGGATGAGCAGGAGAACCCCATCCTGTTGTGAAGAATCTTTAGCTGATCAGCATTTTCTACAATAGTAAAAGATGACACTTCCAGCTGTTGTGTCTTACTTCACCAAACTGACTCAGAGGTGTGCCATACACTGAGTCATCCACACTGCTTCTTGCAGTGCCTGCTTGCTTTCTTCTGTCTTCCCTTTCTCTTTCCTCCTCCCTCATTGCAAATTTTCACTCAGGCAGGTTTTTTCTTGCCTAGCTATAAAAAGGAATGAGTCCTACAAGAGTGCTGAGCATAGAAATACACAAACCATTAAAAGCACTGAAGGCAGATTATGTATGTTTGTACAAAACCTACAACTTTCTTCACTAATTGTGATGGACAGTAACTCTGAAAAATCGATAGTTTTTATTTAAAAAAAAATTAAATTATTTCCATTATAATATTTTCAAGATAAATCAAGACTGAATAGCTTCCACTTATGACCAGGTATTATCTCTATGACTTCTCTGAAACAGTTTTTTCATAAACTGTGTTCTATTAGAACATTACCTTACCCAAGTGTTCTGTCTCACATGAGCTGTCTGAAGTGGCCTTTTGCCCTAGCAGCAAATTCAGCACATGCAGCAGTATTATTTTGCCACCTCTGGAAAGAAAGTTCCAGCATCCCGCTTCTCTGTAATTTCAATGTTCTTTCTATCTGTTTAAATTTATAACTTGCCCTTTTGTCAACATGGAAGACTTGCAAATATATATAGCCTTGTTTTAAACCATATACACAAACTGCTTTGAGGAGACTCCTTCTTGTTTCCTACTTTCCACAGTGAAAAACTTCCCTTTCTGTGGAAAGTAGACACAACAGAAAAACTAGGCTCTGCTCTGTCCATGCCTTCACATAATTAATGATGAAAATAACAAATGTACAACTACAGAGTCAAATGTAAATGTTTCTCCTACCACATTCCGCTATGTTAAACAGGTAAATTTCTCCCTTTTTCCAGTCATTTTGTCCACATCTTGAGCTTGCAATTAGCCTGTGGAGCTTGACCACTCATGACAGAATTCAGCTGGAGTTATCTTTGCCCAAATTTTCTGAAGGGGAGAAAAAATTCCAGGTATCTGGGGCCATGTCCATAAAGTTTCACCCTGAAAGGAAATATTTTTATCAATTTAAGTTAAAAAATCCCAAAACATACCATAACCAACCCACCAAAAGAAAAGTCTGAAAGAGGTTTTTAATGATACATGCACCTGAATTATAATTACAATATGCACGAGAGCACATAGTAAGGTATAATTCTCATTATGGATTTCACTGTTTTTGGCAAACTTGTGGCAGTTTTTCTTTTAATATCTCATTCAAAAATACAGACATATTAAAACATGCAACAGTCTTGTCCTCAGAATTGAGGGAACTAACAGCAAGTCAGAGTATCACACTCTTTCTGCTACATAAGTCCATGAACATTTTAATTATAAAAAAAAAAACCCACTATGTTTTCATATTACCTTAAATGCTTCTATTAAGTGCAAGGCATGCCATGCCTCTTCAGGAGAGATTAATCAAATGTCTCACTTTTGATCTAGAGAAAACGATTACAAATACTTTGTTGGACATACCTAGCCGGTGCAGAAGAGCTGGGTTACCCGCACCCCCCAGCTCCGGAGCGTAGTTACAGCACTGCGACTGTCACGGTAGCTGGTTTTCTGTGAAAATGCCTGCTGGCATTCCTCAACAGGTACGGCAGGAAATCATTTTTCAATACCCTTCGTTTAAATTCTGACGTATTCCTGGACACGTTGGAAGGGGCTGTAGCTCCCGGGCGGTGCGGGAGGCGCCGGTCCCGGCAGGGTGCGGGACGCCAGTGGGCTCGCAGGACGCCCTCCGAACTCAGGGAACGAGATCCAGATGCGGAGAACAGGCTCTGTCACGCTTTCTGTCAGGAAGCGAGCCACGGAAAGCGCAGACCTTTTACAACAGGTTTCACTCCCACTCCTAAACTGTCCCCAGCCCTCAGTTTCCCCAGGCGGCACCACCTCGGTCTGAGCCACCTCCCAGCCCCAAAAGTGGGTCGTCAGAGCAAAGTAGGACCACCGGCGCAGCTCTACGAATCTCCTCCTCGGATTAATCCAGGCTGGCTGACGCGGTCCGCCCTGTTAGACGGCTGTCAGAGACAAGCCTCAGCCATCCTCCCCAGCCCTTCGCTGTCGCGGGTTGGGCTCAGCCTCCGCCCCAGGAAATCCTCCAAGTAAAGATTGCGAGATTTGAGGTGGCTGGCCTTTGTTTGTTTGTTGGTTTGGTTTGGTTGATTGGTTTGTTTGGGTTTGGGTTTTTTGGGGTAGGACGGACAGCTGCAAACCTCCCTAGCTGAAGATACCGTGGTCCTGGAAGTGAAAGAGCCCCTCGAGACTATGGGGGCTGTTGGCGGGAGCATCTCAAGGATATGAGCTGATTTATTTGCTTATTCAATAGGCTGCTTTGGAAGCTTGGTCTGAGTTACCCAGACTGCCACCTGTCATTGACATATTTGGCTCTGAAGCTTAAACTTACAGGTTCAGTCTCATTTAGCCTGAGTTATTATCTACAAACTTGAGAGCTACTAAGCAGTCCTGACATTTTATAGAGGTTACTTGAATTGTGGCTTTTCTGGAAACGGTATTTTGGCCAGGTTCTGGTGTTTCTTATTCCTCTTGTTTCACTTGCACACCAGAGCCAGAGCTTTTCAATGCAGAAGTTCCTCAAACGTAGTTTGTTAAACGCAATAGGATACAGGCATTTCTAAAGCTGCATTGACAGTTGTTTACTAACTACTGAAACAGATAGTAAGATAGAGAAAAGCTCTTTCTTATGTTCCTCTTATGTTGCATTAGGGCAAGCAATTTTATGCAAGATTTTTAGTGTCTGTATTATTTTGCACCATCAACAAACACCTATTAACACTAATAAGTTAAATCTTATTATCATAAAGACAAGAGAGATGTTCCCTACTCTGTTCCACTACATTGTTCTAGAAGCAATGATAAAAAAACAAACAAACAAACAAACAAAAAAACACTTTTGAAGGCTTTTTTCTGAGACATATACACTAAAGGTTCTGCTGTATGCAGTTGTGGTCATTTGGGTTTTTGTTTGCTTGTTTGTTTTTCTCAAATTTTCATTATAATACTACCAATAGTGAAAAAAATGTTTCCACTAAAAATGTTTCTGGTATGAAGAACTTTGTTAAAACATTATCAAAATGAATAGGTAAAATGAGAACTATTCAATCATTTAGCTATTCAGTAATTGATGTGAATCAGAATTCGGAAAAAAACACATATAGTGAAGCTGAAGGAATATCAGCTGAAATGGCTGGATTTCATGGGACAGCAAAAATACACAGTACATGGCAGTTATAAGACAAAAATTGCAGGGAAGAGCAGAGAAGTGGGTTATCCAAGGAAAGTGGACATTGACACTAGTCCACATGAATATTCAGTGTGGTCACCAAGGAGATCTCAAAGTAAACTAAGAAACTTTTCATCTAAACCAACAGAAGTATTTTGTCTCATAAAGCTCTAAGATAGAATGAGCTGTTACAGTTAGCACAGGGAGTTTCTCTACAGTTCATCAGTGCCATCTTTGAACAGAGCTTGCAGCAGAGCAATGATCATGATGTGCCTTATCTTTCTGCAGCTGAGGAGTTGTTCAAAGAAGACTGCTTCTGTTCAAATTAAGAGATTGAACTTGGAAGTAGCATTTGGTATATGGCATTTTTCCAAAATGTATTTGTTAAATAGGGTATCACTGTGAAGTCCTTTTGCCATCGGACTATGGCATGCATCTACTTTATTTATTTGATAAATTTTATACAGCCAGTGAAGGGAGCACATTACCTGCAAAAAATAATTCAATCCTTTTGAATTTTGCTTAGAAGAAAATCAGTGTGAAAGCATTTTCTTATGTATGGATGGAATGGAAGTTGCCTGGAATGAATTCAGACCATTGCCTTCCATTACCACAAACCTCATTTTTTAATACATCCAGTAGCTTTGTTCCAGCATTTAAGATCACTTCACCAACTTAAAATATTGACAACTTTTTCTTTTCACATATATTCATCTCCTTTGGGTGTGTAGCTGCATTAACTTTTTTGTTTGGATCAAGAGAGCACTTGTATCGCAAAACAATCCTGGAACCTATGAAACAGATTCCTTTCAGATGAGGCAAAACTTGAAGATGAGCTCCAGCTACTTAGGCAATCTATCAATAGTGCCTGACAGCAGTTAGTTTGAAATACAGTCTCTTGGGGGAAAAAAAAAAAAAAAGTGACAATGAGTAATTGTTAGTTATTTTAAGGAAATTTTTTGTAAAATTCAACAGTCTTAGGTTTTGCCTGCTCCCGGTAAATCATCCCTTCTATGTGAAAAGAGAAAGAAACCATGTCTCTAAGACATCTGGAAGTATATTTGGGGCAAACAGAAATAAGCTGTAATCTTATTTTTTGGTTATGACCGTGGTATATTTCATCACTTATCTTTCTCAACTGAAACTGAACAGAGCAAATAAAAACCTAACAGAGTTTTCAAGTCCTTTATGTATATTTTTTTTACCAGTTCTACCTTAAGCTTTTTTGCATAAGATAATTTTGATTAAATCATTATCATTGTATGTACACATTTTTAAAGGTAAAAGAAAAAAATTATCAAGAAATATAATTGCAGGTAATTGTTAAAGTACAGTTAAAACTGCATAAAAGTTACGTATTACACAATTTGAAAACAGAAGATGTATTGAGGAAGAAATATTCAAAACCACTGTAATCTGCAGGGTATGCAAAACCTATTGATTAAGAAAGATTAAAATAGGAGTGGAAAATTGGAAATTGAAAATGCAAAAGTAATGTTGCAGTGTTTGGTTGCATCACATTAATCTGTTGTTTTATTTCAATATCCATATTGCCTTCAGCATGGTAACCAATTATCATGGCAAAGCCAGAAGTGAAAGGCTGACTGGGAAGCCAGCGAACAAATGAGGACAGAACATGCTTGAAAAGGGAAAAACCAAGATAAGGCAGTAGTTACTGTCATGAAGGGAACTTACTATGGGGATTAGCCACTGCCTTCATATTGATATTTTCATTAGTCCTGTCAGCCAAAAAAATGGGAGTTTTCCTATATAATTTACCAATGGCATAACAGACAGAAGTATATGATCCTGCACGTTTACCCATGAACTCCTCCTGCACAAAGAATTTACACCACTGTGTTATTGCTTTTAATTTTAAAAACAAAAATAACCACTTGCCATCCATTGTCACAGAGTAAGGAAAAGAGCTGTGTGTCAAGATTTCTATGACTCACCAGTATATATCTTTTAAATAAAAAAAAACAGCAAATGCTGCCTTAAATCAGGTTAACTGTTTTCAATAGGGTTAGAGAAGTACCAAAGGCACCTGTAGTGCACTGACTCAAGTGTTCATTATATATATATAGTGAGAAAGGCACTCAGACTCCATGGGATATTGATTAAAATTTGGGTTGTTGGAGATAACCTGAGAAAGTAAAAAGAAATAGCACAGATAATCTTATCTATCTTCAGATGCTGGGAACACAGAGTTGCGTCGGCCAAATCTCTAGTCAGGGCATGCCACACCATGCAAATTCCATCTGTGGCAAGATCTGCAAGCACTGAAGAGTTGAGATTTTTTACAGTGTCCCTAGAAGCAGACAAATCTGCTCATCATCTTTACTGTCACGCAAACAGATGTTGTATGAAGACAGGCTGTTTCGCTTCGAGTTAAACTGAGACATGTGGGTAGAGTCATCACCAGGTGCCAAGTGGGAGCTGCCTTTTGGAGCTTTTCCATTCAGGTGAGTTGGCTCCAGGTGTACCTGTAGCCACCTGGTACAGGCAGCACAGCTCAGGCCTGCACCTAACTGCATCAGCTCTCACGTGGGTTTAGGACTCACATCTGTTTAGGACTCTGACAACACTGATCAGGGTGCTGGCCAACCTTCAGCTGAATGTTGTGTACTGTCAATATATTAACAAAATCAAAGATTTCAAATAACTACCGGAATACTAGGGAAAATGAGAAGCTTACTTTTCAGGAAAGGTTTAAGTTAATTTGTCTTGTCTAGGTTAAATTGAAGACAGACTACAACTGCTGCCTATAAATAATACATCCGGTAGATACCAATGAACTAGTTTGTTAGGATTAAGCATGATAAATCACAGAGAGAACAATACAACTGACACCTGGGATGGTAATGAACTTGCCAAAGGGCAGAGAAAACCCCTTC